TCCCCTTTCTGGGATGCCTGCAGAGTACAAAAGGGTTATTGTCTTGGGGGGGGGGTGTTATTCCTGGCTCTGCTAGGAATGGAAAATTAGAAAATGGAAATGAGGGATGTCACTTAGGATGGCACCATCAAAAGAAAGAGGCCTTTAAATTAGATGCCTATATCTGTGCTTAACAGCTAATGAGAAGCAGCACGCAAGGAGGATGTTTCACCTCCCTTGGAAGTGGGTGCTCTGGTGGTTTAATGTTATTCCTCCCTCGGCCTCTCCCTTGCACGTGCCGGGTCAGGGGTAGCTCTGCTGAGCGCCAGGAGCTGCTCAGACTTGTGCTCCTGCTGGCTGTGGCTCCTGGGGTTTGCAGATCCCTGCTCTGGTTTCCTCTCCTGCTTAAAGTGGTCTACAGAAGCAGAGCCGCTTTGCTGGAATAAAGATGCTCTCACATGCCTTGAGATCTGCGGATGGGAGGAGTGGAAGCGCCTGGTTATGTCTTCTTCCCTGAGCGAAAGCAGACACAGGTAGTTCCTGCTGCTGCTCATCCAACATTTAAAGCAAAGTGCTTCTGACAAACAAAGGGGAAGATGGACTTTATTAAAAATAAACAAATCTCTTGAGATCTGATCATGCACCGATAACTCCTCCTGGCTTGTACTAGGATTTCGTTCTATTTCTTGGTTATTGCAGACGGCGGCGGTGAAGAAATGCAGCTCTGATACTGATACAAAAGGCCTGCCACCGAGCGGCGTGTGTGCAGGTGGATGGGTGATTCTGATGTTTATCGTGGCAATTAATGTGCTGGTGGACTCTTTTCATTACAGCTGGGTTGAATCAGTGACAGAGTCAAGCCAAGCAACGAGCTGGGTTTTCCCATTGAAAAACATATATATATTGGAAATATGATTAAAAAATAATAAAAATAAAGGGGCAGGCAGCATCCCAAAGGGTGCTCAGCATGTCTTGTCATCCCTTTTTTCACCTTCCCAGCTGAAATTGAGCTCTGCTCAGCAGCAGTCCCACCTGTATTGCATGCACCCTCATGAGCCCAGCCTGGAGCAGGGCACTGCCTGTGGGAGGTGGCCGGGCTGGCTGCTGGGTTTGCCTCCTGCATCAGTTGGTTCTCCTCTAAATGCCTCCAGACACAACACAGAGATAACTGTTCCTGCCCCCTCGGAGACGTGGAGTGGCTGAGAGCTGATATCATCACTCCATCATCTGGGTTTAACAAAATTCATTCTTCAGAAATGTAAATCATTTGCCTTTTGGTGATTTTACCACATCTGCACTGAGTTGTTAACATAAAATACTTTTAAGAAAGATCCGTTCGGCTTCACCAGGCATCAGTGCACACCGTGACTTCCTTGTCGTGTTGTGACAACACCGGACAACTTCTGGGGAGCAGCTCGCCTGCCCCAGGTGGTTTGAAGAGCCACGATGTGAGATGAGTGTTGTGAATCAGCTCAAATTGGTTTCATCCTGCCCAGCTGGTGTGAGATTTGCATACCCCGATTCAGGATTGCAAAGAAACCTGGACTCCAGCTCAATGTTTTTCTGTGTTCACCATGTTCAGCCCTTGTGTACCAGCAAACTCACACCCCTCTGCTCTGCTCTGCTCCCCTGGCTGCTACACCCCAGAGCAATGCGTCTCTGTGGGAGCAGGAGGCCCAGCCAGCCCTGCAGGCACAGGATGCGGATTGTTTCTGCAAAATATATGGTCCATGTCTCCAAGCTATGAATACATACAAGATTTTAGGGATTACCAGGGTGTGACATGCTGGGGAGACCTAAAGCCTGGGTTTGGAAACAGCTGAGGGGGGCTGCTTGGATGCCTCACTTCACGGGAGAGAAGCTGGGCCTGCCTCAGGCCGGCACTGGCTGCGTGTCAGGGCATGGGTGGGCCCAGGTTCACCCTAAAACTCTACAAGGTCTTGGGCATCATATGTGAAAATGTGGATATGGATGGGGCCCTAAGCACAGATATCCCTCATGTCCTGCCAACACATGCAGCAAGTGACTGGGCACCTCACCACAGCCCATGCTGCTGGAGTCTGTTTGGAGTTCCAGAAATCCAGATACATCTCTTCACACTGAGGTCCTGTGAGATGGCACTGACGGGGGTGTCAGAAATATCTGCTAATGAGTCAAGAGCTGGTCAGGTGCCTGGGAGGCACAGCTTGGACAAGGAGGAGAGCCCTGTGTGAGCTGAGATAGTCCAGTGATGAGCAAAAGCTGCCACGGGACAATGCCATATCTCTGATTTTAGTGTTTGCAAAAAAACCCACGCGTATCATAAATCCGGCAGCTCTCAGGGAGACAAAACTAACCTAAACAAACCCCTGCTTTGTTTGCATTTAAACCCAGCCTTGGTCCTCGAACAAAACCCATTCTGTCTCATGGACACAATAGGGGGAAACTGAGGCAGGGAGAAGCCCCCACCTCCCAGCTTCCATTACCATCAACTTGCACAGCTGTGAGAGCAGCGATACACACAGGAGCACTGGGAAATGTTCCTATTGATCGGAAATGAATAATTATCACCCGCTCCCTGTTCCAGGGCCTCGCGGTGAGCGGAAGAGCGGAAGCACTAAGCGGGATTAATAACTACTTTTCATTACTTTTAATGCAAACTATTGATTTTAAAGTGTTGTAGGGTATGACAGTTTATTACAATAAGACAATAAAACAGACTATATGAAATAATTGAGAATAATCTCTTCCCTTTTCCTGCACGACGCGAGGACATTATGTTCTGTGCATGTGGAGACATTTATGGCAAACTCTATCCAGCAATGGCAGCTTAAGCACTCTATAAAACAGCACTTTGGAGCTGGAGTATTATAAATAATAGGCAATAAAACTGGTAAATGGGGCTTTAATTTGATTCCATTATGTCACCAAATGACAGCAAGGGGGGGGGCAGAGCAGCGAGGGGACGCGGCGCTGCGCCAGGGTGGGGAGCGCTGGGTGCGCGGCGGCGGAGCGGGACGCGGCGGTGCCAGCGGGTCAGGCCCTGCCAAACCCCAACCCAGGCATGGGCTCAGTCCTGGCAGAGTCCACGCAGGGCCCCTCAGTGTCGCCAGGACAGGAGGTGACAGCAGGAACACCTCTGTCACAATATTTAAGGCCCCCAGAGGATGCTCCGGTCTGACAGTGCCAGGCACCACCCAAATATTTAGGTGCCACCCCAAATCCCCCACGCTGCTGCTTGTCCCCAGCTCCTGGAGATCTCCTTTTCCATGCTTTCTGCCCCAGTCTGGCTGTCAGCCGGCAGCAAAGCCTGGAGGAATCTGCTGTGCACCATCACCACTTCCCACCCATGGATGTGGGGACACCCTGGGCAGCGGGATGGTGGCTGGGGGACAGCCCCAGGCCCCAGGGTGCTGGTGCAGAGCTTCCGGCTCTCTGCAGGTGCCAAGAGGAAGCCGCTGCCGGCTGATGGCCTTGCAGGGCCCAGTGAGATGTGAAACGAGCCGAGTCGCAGCCCAGTGGTTTCTGCTGTGGAGCTGTTTCTGCTAATAGGGCCCCTCCTCGTCAAGGCTGCGGAGTGAACGCACCAGGCAGACCCCGAGCCAAGCGTGAGGGGCTGAGGAAGCCCTGGGGACATCCCGGTGCCACAGTGCGTGGTTTCCTCCAGCCCATCACGTACCCAGCTCTCACACCCTCAGCCCCTGGGCACTGCCTAAAAATACCTCCAGCAAGAGGGACTCAAAGGCTCTGGTACAGGAATGCACCTGGGCAAGGGCTGAGCTTGTTGCGTGGATGTTTCCTCTCCTCTCCCTCAGGTTTTAGCAACCCCAGAAGTGCCAGAAGGCCCTGGGAGAGAGGAGGTGGAGTTCATCCTGCTCCTGTGGGGTAACCCTGTGCCCGGAGCATGAAATGAAGCTGGGCAGGGCCTCCATGGCCCAGTGGGATCACAGTAAATAGCTGTGCACTGGCCCAGGTAACGCGAAATTGGAAAGGGCTGGAGGGGAGCGAAGGGCCAGGACCTCACAGCCAGTGGGGTGGCCACATCTGGCCCCAAATCACCCACATGGGCTGTGCACTGGGGTGCTGGGAGCTGCATTTTGCTGCCCTGTGGGGCCTCCTTCTCCCCCTCCACACCACAGAGCAGGATGTCTCCCACACCCGTCTGCAGCGGCCCCAGCACCCATCATTATTATTTTCCTTCATTATCATTGTGAAGATTTTTACAAAGCGGGGGAAAAGTGGGTCAATGGCACTTCATTTTGTTTTCAGTTCCAAAAACTCAGCTCTTCCCAGATTCTTCTATAGAGTCTCAGCGTCTCTGGGGCTTTTCTAGCCTCTTGCCTAAGCGTATAATCAGGCAGGACTGTGTTTTAGAGAGGGGATTATGCACACAATAGAGCAGAGGAGCCCCATCGGAGCTATTCCAATCTATTAGGATCTGCACTCTACCCAAAATAAACAACACAAGGAAAAAAACAAACTGCACTAACTTGTCTGCACGTGCTGTGCTGGCAGGGAGGAGGTCTGGGCTCGGGGTTTTAACAAGCTCTTCTTTTCAGTCCCTGCATCAGGAAGTCCCTTGCCCACGGCCTTGAATGCTGAAGAAGTTGCAGGAGAGAGCATCAGCCATGGGAACAAGTGGCCGTGCCTACTGCTTATTGCCTGCAACCACTAGCTCGGTACAGGGCTCTGAGCTGGAGGAGACAGCCTTTTTCTCCACCAGGAGAGAAAAAGCTGCTGCTAGGGCCCGTTCTGGGGAAGAGATTGCAGGGAACAAGGGGATGCTGGAGGTGGGAGAGACCTGTGGAAATAGGAGAGTGGCACCGCAACCTGCGCTGGGCGCAGAGCACAGGTCCCCCCGCTGCAGCTCCAGGGGTCTGCAGGAAAGGGGAGCAGGAGGGGACAGCCAGGAGCAAACAACAGCAAACGACAACCCTGCTCTATTAGACCCAAGCATCCTAATATTACCAGGAGCCATGCATTTGCCTGCTCCGTGGGGGTGCTCATGAAAAATAACTATTTGGAGGCATTCAGGCGCTGTGAGAGCTGCTGATGAAGAAACACCCCGCGCAGATCTCTTTCTCCAGCTTTTCATTTTATTTGTTTTCTTCATGTACCCAAAGAAGAGTTACAGCAGGGATACAGCTTTCTTCACACCCTTTCTTACTCACTTTAGTAAGTCCACCAGGAAACGAAGTGCGGCATGTCCTGGCCACACAAATCCCTGCACACACACAGCTGCAGCTTTTGATTTCAATGCGAGGGTAAATTGGCTTCATCTCATCATGGGAAGACTCTTTTTAAGCCCAGAAACAGCTCTCCACACTTTTTCCCTCCTAGGGTGCACCCGAAGGAAAATAAGCAGTCATCTGTAATCATATGGCTAATGAGGGGTATTGATTAATGAGGCAGAGGGAGGCAGGACCAGGCACAGCCCGTGCCAGGCAGGAAGGGGCTGAGCACAGACCCGTAGGGATGGTTTTTGAGGTGGGAGACTGCAAGGTGAGACGGGGGCAGAGGACTTCCCAGGAGGTGCTGCCAGCCCCTGTATCTGAGGAATCAAGCTGAGAAGGCAGTGAGAAGCAGGTGTGAACATTTTTCTGCCTGCCTGGGGAAGAGTTTGGAGATGGGAAGCTGGGCCAGTGCGGACAAAGGGATGCTTCTGCATTTACTGCCTCTCTCCCCCTGTGTGCTGCCTCCAGGCCACCCGAGCTGAACGCTCACAGCTTGCACTGAAGTGTTGGAGAACTGAAAGGGCCTGAGGCTGTGCTGGCTGGTCCCTGGCATCTTGCATTTCAAATGCCCTCAAAATGATGGATTTGATGCTTCCTCTTTTATTTATTACATTTAAAGCATTTTTGCCAGGGGGGGTAGCTCAAGAGAAGACACAGCTTATTTTCCTGAGGATCCCAGGGGCCGGGCTCTCTGGCAGCTGCCTGCAAAGCAAAAGGCAGGAGCCCACCAGCAGCCAGGCGTGCAGCAATCTGCTCTCCTGGGGGGGCAGAGAGGGGCCAGGGGCAAGGCAGGGAGGAAAGGTCCACCTGGCTCAGGAGCAGGAGGCAGGCAGCCAGCAGGGAGTCATTTGCAGAGCTTTCCTCCCGGCCGCTGGGCAGCGATTATCGATGCCACGCAGCTGTAAATGTTCTCTCGGCGGCTGGGACCTGGGAGCGGAGAGTGCGGCTCAGCTGAGTGTGTTATTGGATTAGCAGCTGATTAGAGCTGTTAAGAGTCCACTCTTGAATAATCAACATGGTGCTTTTTGGCTGCTGTGCGGTGGTGGGAGGGGGAAGGAGGCAGAGCAGCCAGGCTGGCTGCTGTTGGTTTGTAGCTAAGCCCTGGGCATTGCTATCAGCAAGCCCTGCTCAGAGGACAGATGTGGTGCCCACCTTCCCCAGGTCCAGGGCGTTAAATCTCCACACTGATGGGATGTCGGTTTGCAGGGGGACCCCTTCTTTCCCTGACAGATATTTCAGACCATGACATTTCCTACCAGCAGGGTTAGGATCTGAAGATTCTTAACCCTATGGGAAGAGAGCCATGCAGCTTGATGGTGTGCTGAGTCTTGTGGTGGGCTCGATCCATTGTGAACCAGGGTAAGAACGTAGCGCACTGGAGACTAAGGCTGTTTGGTTTTGGTGCTGGAAAAGTCAAGTGGAGGAGGTCCAGGTCTTGTAGGGGGATGGAAGAGCTGACTCCCTCTACTGAGCTAACACAACGGGTGGAGATGGTGTGGGCATGTTGGGTCCCCCTGCTTGTAAAGGGGACTCACTGGGCAGGGCGAAAAGGGCAGGGGAGCTCTTCTGGTGAAGAGTTCTTCTAAGTGCCAGTGAGATCAAAAGCTTAGCAGGGGCTTACGGTGTTGTGCTTTAGTGTATTCCTATAGAGACGAGGCAAGGCAGAGGCTGAAGGATGAAGCTGAGCTAGCGAGGCTGGGCTGGGAATGCTTTAGATGAAGAAGGCACAGCGTTCTCCGTCCTTTGCTTCTCCTCCAGACTGATGCCCAGCAGCGTGTGGGTGAGGAACAGATAAAAAGCAGCGTGCCTCCTGGCCTTCCTCTTTCTCTTTCCACTCATTATAAATTTTTAAGGTAGATTTGTCCTCTTATTCAGCCATAACTTCCCCTGGAGAAGCTTCCTACAGCCACCTTGCGGCAGGAGCCCTCCTGCTCTCCTTTGATGTGTCGGTTTGCTCCCCGGGGCTGAGTCCTCCTGGTCTGGAGAGCTCAATTCACCACCAGCTTCACGCACCCTGCTTTTCCCCTCAGTCATAGCACTCTTGTTCCCACTAAAATCAATGGCATGGCAACTGTGTGAGCAAGGGGAGAATTTGATATCACAAGGAATAACAAATCACAGGCATATCAAGTGTGCCCTGATATCCAAGGGCACGGAGCAGCAAGGACCAAGGAGATCCCTTGCTCACTCTTTCCCTCCCTCTGCCTGTCTCCGAGGATCAGTATTCTCCTTCCAGAGACCTGTAGGGGTCACAGTTGGATTGTACAACATGCTGTGAGCCCGTCCTTGGGAAGGGAAACCATTCCTGCTGAAGTATTGACCAGAAAGCCAGCAGGACACCAAGTGCCCTCTGCACACAGGCCACTGCCTCAAACCCCACTCAGCAGTGGGCTCCTACCCATCTTCTGCCTATTTCTGACACTAAGGCCCAGATGTCTCCCATGGGATGTGTTTCTTAGCTTCAACGTAGTGAAACCAAACGTGTTGCAGGTTGGAAAGAGCCAGTCTCAAGTCCATGCACAGGAGGGTGTGAGGAACCAAGATTTTATTGGGACAGTTCTATAATGGAGAGGAAAGAGGAGAAGTGATGCTTTAGATAACGTGATTTATACCTGCACAGCCCTATCAAGGGAAGGGAGAGGGACCTAATTAGTAACTCGGAACCTAATTAAAAAGGCTCAAGCCGAAGACTTCTGTCTGTGTCCAGGTTTCTTGTTCATATGAATACTGGTGGACCATCAAGATTGGTGTGAAGGGGCTTTGCTTCCTGCTTGTCTAACCTGATCTTACTCAAAACCATGTGGTACAAACCTCAAAAAACAAAATCCAGGTGACAGAACTTGAAGAACGTCAGGATATGGGCAGACCTCCACTGAAGTGAAATGGATGTGGCAGCTCCTGAAACCTTAACCTGGTTTCCTCTGGGGTCATTACTCATCCCTGCAGTTCCCTCATGGGACTGTGAAGGTTTATCTTAGCTTCCAGATTCAAGCCTCCCATAACAGAAGTCACAGGACATGTGCAAGACCAGGCATCAGTGTGCTGGATGTATGACCTGTGCCTGGACAGATTCCTATTCCCCACGTGAAAGCGGTTGCCTCAGCAGGGTTTTTCTGCCATGATAGCACCAGTCTGGTCCTTCTTCCTTCCACTGGGTAGCAGAAAGTCTTCGTCAGGTGAGCCTGATCCAGTCTCCATCATAAGCAGCAGCCCAGAAACAGCATCACCCGTCTTCATTCTCCAAGGTCCCTGTGGACACACACCCACAGGAACTCTCCAGTCACGGTCAGAGATCCCTTCCCATGCCTGCACTGCACCACAAATTAGGATCTGGCCATGACGCTCACAAGGATGGACCCGTTCCACTGTGCGATAATTAAATTGCCTGTAATTATGTTCTTGACAAGTGAAATACAGGCAGTAAATGATCCTAACATTCTTCGCTCCCTCCCTCTTCCCAAGACTCCCCCAGCTGCCCCTCCCCTCTAAATGCTGAATTATTTTACAGTTGATAGTTCCTTAGATTTGCCGACCTTTAAAAGCTGAACACTACATGCCTGTTGAATTTTAATCAATTTATTTTTTTCAACTGGAAATGTCAGACTTCTGTACGGAATTACTTGGTGCCGGCTGATGTGACAAAGACTCAAAGTTCAGCATCTGAAGCCGCGGAGGAGCAGAGAGTTGCGTGCATTAGCACAGATAATTTGCAGGATGTGAAAATGAGAGCAGGAGTGAGGGAGCATATATTTTTCATTAGCTTTGGTTTAGAGGGTTCGGGGACCTGCATTTATTTCATCCAGTGAACTCTGGCCTCATTAAATCCAGACCGTGGCTGGTAATGACTGGAAGTAAGAAGCTGTGGAGGCCACTAAAGGGCAGGAGGCAAAGTGAGTTCTTTGCAGGAGCACGGAGAGAACCTCGGTGGATGGGGGAGCACCAACCTCTGCTGTGTCTGCTCTACGGTACCAAGCACAGGAAGGTGCCAGAGGCCCAAACCATCCACCATTCTGCACTGGTGCAGTTTGTTAATGCACATTACACCACCTGCTTCATGCAGCTCCAGAAGAGTCCAGCAAAGCTTCCACTTGCAGTGTAGCTTTCCCAACCTGAGTGCAGGGTTGATTAAACTTCTCAGTAGCGTTGAGCTTGGCCGGCATTGCCTGGAAGGATTAAGCATTCCCCAGCTGGAGCAAAGCCCTTCCACAAAGATGGGAGGAGGTTTAGTGGCAAACACAGACCTGCAGACTGATTCCTGATGGGGGGACCATGGCAGTGAGCACACACCAGTGAGGAACCCTGCCGTCCTGACAGGGATTTGCTGGCCTTCACTGTGCCTTTGGCATCGTGTTTGTGAGCAGTGGCTACAGCCAGGGCAATGCTGAGAGCTGCCCTGCCTCCTTTCTGAGCAGGAATTTCTCCATGGTCAGTGGCTGGGTAGCTCCATGCTAGTCCTGCCACGCATCACCTACTTCCCTACTCTGTTGTTTCAAGCAAAAGTTATCACCTTCTGTTTTTCTTGTATCAGCGGCCTCTGGTGTTTCCCTGTAGTGCTGTAGTCTGTTCTAATCTTGGGCCATGACAGCCTACAAACAAGTTTTTGTCCTATTAAAATTTAATTCCTTCTTTGGAATAGAGACTTCTCATCGCACAGAACCGGATGGATAAATGTTTGCTAAGGTGACAAGGATTGAGTATATTTAATCTTCTTCCTTCTCTTTAAAAAACTGTGCCCATCGTCGCCTCTTGGCACAGGTACCTTAAAATCAATAATGAGCCTTGCAAGTGGATCTGTGATAAAATATGGTCTATCCTTCTCCATTGAACTGTAATAAGCATCTTTTTCAAAATCGTGCATGCACCTACACGCAGCAAGAATAATGTGGTGGCTGCGTAGGTTCAAGGAAAGTTCCAGGGCTCTGGTCTTCCCAGAGACTTAGTAAGTTGAGGTACACCTCAAATCCAAGTATTCTTCCAGGATTACAGACTGCATTGAGTAAGAGATGTAACTTCTGGGAACTTGCCAATGGAAAGGGCAATTCTTCATGTGTCCTGGTCCTACACCCTCTCTAAAGCTTTGCAGTTGTTCAAGGCTGTGGTCAAGGATCCTTTGGTCTGAGACAACACCGCAGACCTTTTGTTGTGCTCTCATTTCACTGAAATGGATTTTAATCAGGAAATACACATGGATTGACATCAGTTCTCTCTGGGGCAAATGAGCCAGGTTAGATGAGTTCCCAACTGGGAGAAGCGTAACAGAGAGGTGCAGAACTGAGCCATGGTGCTGAGATGCACGGGGCTGCCACCAGCAGAGTACAGACTCCCTGACTTAGACCAGCCTTGCTCTGAAGGAGGCTGAGGCAAAGACTTGAGTCTGTGTTTTCCATGTCTTACGTGGCTGTGCTAATTATCATTATATTGACTCATCCGAGGGAGCATGTTTCTTGGGCTCTTCAGCCATTAACATTTTGAAATTTCATTTTTTCTCTGAGGAAGATGGAAAATTCCTTTGGAATTCTAAGTTTTGCAAGCAAGGGAATCACTGAATCATTCCTACTGTGTAGCTACGTCTTTTTTTTTTTTTTTTTTTTTTTTTTTTAGTTTGCAGGTCCTTCTCCAACTCTCCCATTTGAAAAGTCCTTAGAGAAAACTGAGTGTATGGAAAGCAGCCCAGGCTTACTAACTCTTCATCAGTATTCCCTTTAAAGAAGGCAAATGTTATTATCCTCCTTGCCAAAAGGGAGTGTGAACACATCTGCTCCTCCACCCACCCTCTTGGCACCCCCTCCCGACGCAGACTCCCACAGCTCACCCTCTGTCACAGCTCGACAGCCCATTACAAATGGCAGTGTTTAAGCAAGGTCTTGCTCTTCGTTTATAGCCCTCTCAGTCACTCCGATGGGTTCCTTCCCTGGCCTTTCGCAGCCTCTGTTTGCTGCAGGTTAAGAAAATGTCAAGCTCATTTGGAAGAGCCTCGCCCCTCCTCGCTTTGCTGCAGCCATTAGTGGTCCTCTCCTGGCTGCAGGAGGCTGACATTTACATCGCAGGCTAGGGTGGGAATAATAGCCGTTAAGTCGGACTTTGTTAATCACCAGTTATGTCCACCTTCAGAAATCAGCTCAGGCGGCCCGAGCTTATTTTCTTCATTTCCCCTCTGTCACACTGTCATCTCCCCATCCACCCCTGCCTGATCCTCCGCCCTCCCACCCCATCTGCACTTATTTATTGACTGCGGTGGTAAAGTGTCACTCAATTAAAGACAGAATTAAAAGAAAAGAAAAGAAAAGAAAAGAAAAGAAAAGAAAAGAAAAGAAAAGAAAAGAAAGAAAAGAAAAGAAAAGAAAAGAAAAGAAAAGAAAAGAAAAGAAAAGAAAAGAAAAGAAAAGAAAAGAAAAGAAAAGAAAAGAAAAGAAAAGAAAAGAAAAGAAAAGAAAAAAGAAAAAAGAAAAGAAAAGAAAAGAAAAGAAAAGAAAAGAAAAGAAAAGAAAAGAAAAGAAAAGAAAAGAAAAGAAAAGAAAAGAAAAGAAAAGAAAAGAAAAGAAAAGAAAAGAAAGAAGAAGAATTGTGGAGACAAGATTGGATTTGTGAATTTACTTCTCCTCATACACGGTCATCCCTCCCAACTCTTCCCATCCCTCTTGAACTGGGAAAGGCAGAGCTAGAGATGATGAGGGTTGGAGAATGCAATCGGTCCTGCTTGTGTTGGAGACCCTTGGGCACTCTGGTTTTCAGGGGCGAGGTAACTTCAGCAAAGAAAGCAGGTGCTGCCCGTTGCATTTTTCTAATCCAAACAGCACTGAGCCAGAAAAAGGAGCTGGCATTCCCTGCTGCTGGTGAGTCTCATGCACGTGGTGCTGTTTGACAAAGGGATGGATTAGGTGACCTCTGCAAGTCCTGTTCATCCCCAATTTTCTGTGATGCTGCGAGGGTGACATTTAAGGATGAGATCAAGTCTGGAAACAGTGGCTTCTGTGAGGCTCTACTAATCACAAGCTTCATTCAGATTTGAAAATGAGTTTTGACCAGGGCTATTGATTTCCCTTCTTGCTTTGCTTTTCCGATGTGTATGCATATGTGTGTGTTTGCAATTTTAACCTGAAAGACTGGAAGGCACCACTCCCCCCTCTTCCTGACTTCTGTGCACCTCCCCTTTGAAGCCCCAGTAAGGGACTTCATTAAAAAAAAGCAGACTGCAGCAGTCAGGAAGTGAACGGGAGGAGAAGTAAGAAGAACTGATGAGGACAGCAAGTGTTTGAAAGCTGAAGAAGAAGGGGAGGAGCTGTGCCAGATGTTGCCAGCTGTTGCTCGGCGCGTGGGTGTCACAGCAGCCCACCCCACAGAGAAGAACAAGCCCACAAATCAAGGCATTGTGCTATGGCCTTGCTGCTGTCCTTTCCTATTTTAGCTAACACCTCTCCCCAGCCCTTTTTCTGTCCTGCTCTCGTAGTCTTCGTTCACCAACATCACTCCTGGGTGCTCTGCTCTGTGCTCTGGCCCTCGCCGCTGTGTCTGATTGCTGTCAGACAGCTGTTAACAAATGGGAAAGGGGAGTGGGGGAAACTGATCTTTATTCATATGACTGAAGTCCTCTAAACACATGAAATCAATCCAGCCTGTGTGTTTTGCGCATATAAAAATATATAAAAAAAATAAAAATTTGCTCATTTCATGCTTCTCTTTTCCTTTTTAAAATTTGCTCACTTTCCTGGAGTGACACTTTGCTCTGTCATCAGAAAGGGAGTGCTGACGTGTAATCCTCCTCTATGTCACATTGCTCCCTGTGTACATTTGTCTTCTGCTGGCACCCTGAAGGTTTTCTCTGAGGTGTCAGGATTTTCTGAAGCCCCCCCAGGCAGAAGAACTTGACCACAACTCACTGACAAACCATGCCAAAAATCACATTCATCCCTTGTGTGCCTCCCTTTCCTTTCTCTCCCATTTGAACAAAGAATATTAGTGATAGCGTAAAATGGAATAATTTGTATGGCCAGAAATAAAAAGCTGGTTGTCCATCTAACCCTAAATCTACTCCTGATTTAAATTCATTATGCCATCTTTATTCTTTTGTTCACTTAGTATTTCTCTCCGGGACCTTCACCTTATTCTGTGTCTAACACTTACGCCTTTCGAGAGTGGAATAGTGAAAAGCAATGTAGGAGACTGATGTCTGGAGGACAGTCACTTCATTTTGTGCAGAAGATGATCTTTTCTCTTTTTATCTCTGCTGGTTCCTCCGTGACCCCTCTGCCCCAATCTCTATTCCCACTCCTTCTCCCAAAAGTCAGGAGAAGAAAATGAAAGCTCCTCTGTCCCTGCAGCTAGAAAGGTGTGCCCCTCTGACCGCAAGCTCTCCTGCAACCTTTCCACCGCATGTAAATTTTTATAGCATATCAATAAAAGGATCTTGAGGCCAAATGGAAATCGAGCAGCTGCCTGAACTGCTTCAGGGCATGGAAACCAATTCAAAGGGTTTTATTATTATTATTATTATATTAAACATTCAAATGAATGACCCAATCAATTTCAAGCCTCTTTGTTCTGTAACCCTTCCCAATCCTGGTGCTGTAGCCACAGGACCAGCAGCTGTGCCCTGGGTGCTGCAAGCACCGCTCCTCACCCTTGGGTCCCTCCTCTCCCCCTGGGTTGTCATTTTGGGGAAAGACCAGGGAAAAGAGCAAGTGGCTCACCAGAGGGCTTCTCCTCAGCCCACGCAAAGCAGGCTGAGCCCATCTGAGTGCTGCTGTGTCTAATATTGGCTTTGCATAATGTGATTAATTGATGGCTTTTCAGAGTGTGTAACTAGCACTGGACTGGACTTCGGTGCATTTCCATTCCAAAGACTCTAGCTGGAGACCCTCAGCTTCATTGCAGTGATCAATATTCTGACCAGAGCAAGGGTAAGCCAGCTGCACACCTCTTGCAAAGCCGCGTGGGCCATGCCTCATCTTTATTCTCCATCTTAGTTCCTTGACCGTTCACCCCTCCAGCAGCAATCAGCCTCTCTGGCCCTGTCATTATCCTTGCTGTAATGATGAAATAATAGCTTGCTGCTTCGAGCTTGCCATCGGGATTGTCCTGAGTGCAGATGGCCTGCGATGCTATCCAGGCAAGGGATGGTGCCAGGGGATGTATGCGCCGGCTGTGAGAGCATCCGCAGTTTCAGTGGTCCAGCTCAGGAGCTGTGAACACCTCAGTGGTGTTTCTGCACAGACTTCGGGGGCAGAGCTG